ACATGCGCGCTCTTGTGATTCTGTAAGGTGTGATTCCTGCTCCCATGCTTGCTGGGTTCATGTTGCCTGGCATAGAAGCAGGGCCACGAGGACCAGGCTGGTTCATAAACTGGTTGTTGTAAGCCTGAGTTGGACCCATCTGGAAAGAGGAACAAACCTTCAACGGAAGAAGAAGAAAAAAAAAAAAGAATAAAATGCGACATGCATTTAAAATGGGAGGAGGGAGCTGAACATGCTTTTGGGGGAGGGAAGAAGGGGAGGATTTATGTCGCATTTTCTTTCAATGTTCTCCAGCATTTGATGGGCGGTGATGTTATTTATAATAAAAATTCAACTGGAATTGTAGAAGGCGTAAGAGAGAAAGACAGACGTAAGTCTAAGGTGAGCAATTAAATCCTCTAAATTGGCTAGTCTATTACTGTAAGGTAACAGGCTAGGAAGTTGGCTGTGTAACTACAGCACAACACTACAATTTCTAAGACATTGCGCTTCTTTACATCACCTGGCATATGGGCCCAAATACTTCAAAACTCAGAGAGGTAAAAAAGCTAAGGAGAAAAAAAAACTTGAATTGATCAAATCCTTGTTTATTTTAACAAAAAATTATTACATGAAGTCATGACATGCTGGAGGTTATGGATCACCAGAAATGCATGTCTCATATAGCTGTTCTCATAGCCAATATTATTAAAAAGCAAATCTCTTTTCTACTGTTGTTTCCTTGTTTGAAGGGAAAAAAACAACCAACCAATTGTAGTTGGCAAAATACACAATTACCCAAGCGGCACAAAACCTATTCCAAGATTCTGGAACATTTCACCGGGTACTCAAATTTAGAGGTTCACAGAGCTGGCAAAGACAGCCATAATATATATCATGTCAGATGCTGCCGTAACTTTGAGTAATCTTCAATTCTTTTAAGGGGCAACCTCCAAACTACAAAATACACTTGGGCAAGATTTATCAGAAAAAACACGGGAGACCGTCTCATACCCACATACACACATACCAGCAGTTTCTCGTAAGCATTTATAACCAAACCATGCTCATGCACAAAAAAAAAATTAAAAAAAAAAAATAAAATAGAGTAGGCACCCTAATAAACAGGGGAGTAAGAAGGACAGCCCAATTCCCTGTAATGGTCCAGATCAGGCAGGTATGAAGACATAAAGGTTACTCTCTTACCGGTCCATACTGGTTCATGTCCTTATTCTGCGTTTCCTGAAGGGCTGCCACAGTGGCTGGGGCCGAAAAGCCGTTGGTTTTTTCGAACCGCCCGCCCGCCCCAACGGCAGCAGCGGCAGCAGCTGCAGCTGGCTGGGTGAAATCAGCTGGCGGCCTCGTGTGGGGGGGGATCCCCATTCCTGCAGGGGTATTTGGGCCTCCAGGGTAACTAACAGGGAAGAAAAGAAAGAAAAAGAGAGAGAATTAAGACACGCCTGGTGGATTTTGTTTTGAACATTGGTGTGATCCTCACCTGGAACTGTTCCAAAATCAGATATCAATGCCTAATGAAAGCCAGCAGGATGGGGAATTAGGTGTGTACATGAGATACAAGTGTTGGTCAGGTGCAACAGTCATAGAAGCTGCCACCGGGATTGCAAGGTACCACCGTCAGTTGTTTTGGGGGCAGTGAACTGCTTTGCAGCTCGGTAGCTTACTGTGAAGTTGAATTGAAATCCTGAAAGTTAATGCATGCTCTGTTTCCCAATAGCGTAGGGGCAGACGGCACAGCAGCATGAACAGAGAGCTTCCTCCACTACAGCGCATTCATCTGCCCCAGTGGTGAATTATGCCAAGCGTTCCTGACGCTGTAAAAGCATTCCTCCCTGAACCTCAGCAGAAAGGCCAGGAGAAACCCAATGCAATCAGCTCTACTGGATCCCACACAACGTATTTTGCAGTTCCTAGCCAGCTCTCCTATTGATCATAAGATAAATTAAGCTAAATCATGCCTTTCCCATTCTAAGACATCAGCTATCTTTATAAATACGGTCCAGTACGCTGTGCCCATTTTAGAGATGTTAATACAAAGCTAAAGAAACTTTCCGACTTGTTCAAAGTCACTCAGTAGATCAGTGGCAGAGATGAAAAGAGAGATAAGTCCCCGGAGTCCCAGGCTTATATTCTTCACACTAGACTGACTATGCTAACAACCTTTTCAGCAGGCTTTGCAGAGGGACCATAAATAGTGGTTTCAGTTAAGTGCACTTACCAGCCTTGTTTACAAAGCATAGACACAGAAAGTCAAAATGTAACAAAACCCAGGCTATAAGCTTTCGCTTGTTTCACTAATGCAGCATTTACTTCCCCAAAATAAATACACAGCTTGACCATCTCTCTTAACAAACATCCTCACCCCCAGTTCTTTTCAAATTCCTAAAAATTCCTGCTGCGGAGTAAGTCTTTGGGCAGAAACATCCCACTGCATAGGAACCTACTTTGCCTAATACTCAAGCTTATTCCTCCATACGCATGTAGAAATTATACCATCAATACCTTTCACATCCTGGCCTTATTAAATGTTAATCATTCCTAAGCCTGTGGTCTGTTTAACAATCTCTCTTAATTAAAACTTTATTTTGGGGGTTTATTAGAGCTAATTGATTGACCTAAGCCATTTCCATTTACTGTGATGAATTTCATTGCAGCTTGGGTAGCTGATTTCCGAAGCTGTAAAAGCAGTATGCACTTCACTTAACCAGCATAAAATAGCTACTGAGACTTTATATAATTAAAATAAGCCCATGACACTTCTGCCAGGTCACTAAAACAAGCTTCATCAACTATTTACATCCATTTTCCACCTCGCACAAGTAAATCTTACCTGCCACCGAAGCCTCCACTTCCAGGATAATTGGGTCGCCCATACATGCTCTGCTGTATGTATGGCTGAGTGGAGCCTGCCTTGGCTGAAAATTGTTGCTGCTGTCCAGCAAACTGAGGGGAATTGATTCCAGGGTTGCTGGTAGTCATCCCAGAAGCCATGGGATTTCCTGCTGGGTTCATAGGGTTATTAGCATTTGCCATTGGATTTCCCAGCACCTGTGAGTAAAAACACAAGAATAAGGGGCTGTACCTTGAACTACATCAAGCAAATTAAGTTGATTTACTGTAACCGATAAATTACAATATAAACACCCTGTACTCTGAACTCTAATGAACATACACCTTCTTGATACCTCGTGCACATTCCTGGTGATTTCTCCTTTTCTTTTGCCATTTCCAAACAAACAAGAGTTTCTGATCTCTAATTATCCTTCACAGGAGATTTTTAACTAGATGGAACCCAAACTAACATGCTTATGAAAAAAGTTATGATAAAGACCTGCTAGAACCATCCTCTGTAGGTGAAAAATTCATCCAATTAAGTACATGCTTTTTCTTTTTTTGTTTTATGTAGGACTTGGAAATAACTTGCAAATATTCAGTCTCACTGGCATACAAAGGGTAAAGGGTAGTACAGATGCAAAAACTGTTAAAGAATATATTTCAGTGGCTTAACCTGTTCTTGAATCTAACTCTAAAGCATACAGAAGTCTGTCAGTTGTTTTTATGGCTTCTTAGAAAAAGAGTCATCTGTTCTGTTTTTAAAAGGACTTGGTTTGCTTGTTTGAAGCTTTTTTTTTTTTCCAATTGAATCAAAATTGCTATGATTTCTGTTGAGATGTAAGTATGGCTGCTCATGGATCACCTGCATGGAAATGTGTCTCCTACTTGGGAAGATATTTAGTGGTCATGATTTTTGCAGAAAACCAAGTCAACGGCTTTGGGAATTTGTGAAAGGGAATTGGTGAGCCCGGCTCATTCCTTTCCCTAGGGGAGCATGAAGACTTACAGGAAATCCTGTCATTCATTTCAATCTACTCTGAGCAGCTACAACCAAGCTTCACGTTTCAGAGTTTCACCCTTCCCTTGCAGTGATTCTGAAGAAGCATTTTCTTCTTTTTACCAAAGAACTTTTTTTCTTTTATTGCACATTCCTCTGAAGCACCATGAAGAGTTCAAGTTACATTACAGTGTTCTTATGATAGAACTAAACTCTGAGTCTTTTCTTTTTTTCCCCTCTTTCCTTTTGCCTTTTTAAATGTGAAAGATTTTCACAAGAAACTGTATTTCCATTTTCTGGCCAATGTATAGACCTACCTGTTTACTTAGGTGTTTCACTCCCAGATGGGATATCTTTTCTTTTAAGGTGTTAAAAAGAAATCAACAATAAAAAATGATGTTATAGATTCTGTAACTATTTCCTCTCTTTATTTTTGAAGAAAGATTTTGCCACAACCAGTGCTTACATAACTGCCATCTGAGTATCTATATGACTTGGACCCTGACTGATTTCTTTTACAAACGGCTCGATCCATAACAACTTTGTTTTTAATTTTCTGACCAAAATTAAAATAATTTCAAAAAATCCACAGAAGATTTTGTATGGGATCTAATGTCACTTGATTTGAAAAAGGTAGAAAAGACAAGTTAGATTTATGTACCATTTGCACTCATTAAAGATGGTGATATGTTTAGAGCACTTCATCCATAGTATAAGAAAAGGCTAGACTGCCTGAGAGCTTGATTTGTGCCACATCTCTTGGAGAGCACACTATCACAAATAATTGGCATCTCCTTTATTAAAGCTGCTTCTTTTTGTATAGCATAATTCAATATACATTGCAGAATAAAAAGAGATGTAAGAGCAGAGAGAACTGAATGAAAATCCAGTAAGTATGGGTCTCACCTGGAAGCCAGGAGCTCGTGTCTTTGCTCCAAGGCATATTGAAATATTTTTGCAAAGTAAGGCAGTATTAACAGGAGAGGTTGAAAAGAGCACAGCCTATAGCTGGTGGTTAGCACCTCAGCGTGGGGGTGGACTTGGCACTGGATTTCACCAGCCCACAAGTACGACACAACCCCGAGTAAAATCAACAATAACTGTCATTTGGTGAATCTAGCTAGAAATTTTATTTTTAATAAAACAACTCTTCAAATTCAATCTGAAATTCCCAAGAGTTTTAGGATTACCCCAAAATCATGCTTTTAGTGTTGAAACCATACAGTGCAAAATACGTGCTAAACCCAAGCCTGACATTTGTATGCAGCTAAAGGAGTTACTGACTCAAGCTCTCAGACGCCTCCTTTCCAATGCCACCAAAGAGGACACACTGGAAAAAAAAAAAAATGCAGCATATACAACAAAGAGACCACAGACGCTGTTATTGATCCCAAGAGGATTTTACAGAAAGCCTTCCATTTTGCAAACATTAGCCATAACATGTATCTACACGGGAGGGAGCATAAAAACGAAGCTTACCTGGCTTTGAGAGGTGTTAGTCACACCCCATACTGTGGTGACCACTGATAAGGAGCCTGGAGGCTGGTTGGTATTTTGCTGCCAGGGAACAGAATCGTAAGGGAAAGACCCATCACTGCAAAAAACAAAGGTTTAGAAGGGTGAGATTCTGGAAGTTTAAACAGTGGCAAGCTGCTGGCAGGGACAAAGCGATTAACACCTGGCATCACCTTAGCTCTCCACTCCTCTTTCCATTATTAGCATAGTACTCTCAGGCATAAAGTTTCTTTAACAGCAACATGATCATATCAAAACCACACAGAACTAATGAATTCCTTAACTATATTGAAGCACAGGGCTTTTACCATAAATGTCTGTTACCAACGAAAGTAAAAATAAACTCGGGGCAGAGTTTCAAACAAGGACACTAAGCAAGTTGCTCAGAAGCACTTATTTTTTGCAAGCCATCTCAAGCTCTTCAACAATCACTGCTTCAGCTGCCTCATATCAATTAAATTAGATTTTGAGACCAGACTGCAGCTCCACCGTCTGCACTGGGTCCCCAAATGGCCAGAAAAGCCTTTAAAGGAATAGCAGTTCAACATCATTTTGAAAAGTGAATTGAAATTCAGATAGTGTTCTCCCACACGATGGATAAGCTGCATGCCAAAAACAGTATTAGCTAATCAGCATTCTAGAAAATCAACTGCAGATATACAACACATCTTTCAGATAAATATGTGGATGAGAGGATTGGTTTTTTCCATTACCTTTGTCCACAGATACAAGCAAACATTTCTTACAGTTCTTTTCATGCAAAAGCATTAGTGGTTTCGAAATGAACACAGGATAGGTACGCATCTAGGGTAATTGATGCAATACGTTAAATCCAGTGAAAGTAACTATTAATCCCATAACTGCAAAATATATCCCACTTGAAATTTGCTCATTCTCATACTATTAACTTGTAAATTAGATTTCTATTTGCATATATGTACACATATACACATGTGATCTTTCCTCCTCTAGATATATACACCATTTAATACCCACACACACTGCGCTCTCATTTTCAAATGCCATTGATTTGTATTCTGTATCAAGAACTGCGTTTTTGCCTGGACTACCAGCTATCACTGGAATTCTATACAGGGCTACCTTGCCTAAAGAATCCATACAGACTCTACGAGCGCTGTATCCACGTGCTTCAAAAGCCTGCACCATAAAGTGCCACACAATTAACTCATACAAGACAGGGTGAGACAACCAACCTGCCAAAGTCCTAAAAAGGGCTCTGTGGCAGACCCGGGAGCTGACTCTCCCGTGTCCCCAGACAGTACTCCAGGCTTGGACCGCTTCTCCTTCCTTTTGTGCTGTGAGCCAAAATCAAGGACTACCTACGTGTTCATTCTTTAGCCCGTTCATAACACCTAGTGTAAATCATTTAAGAATAGGAATTGCATTGCATGAAGAAATGCGCACGTGTGATAAAGACTACCTATGTCCCAAGTAACCAATAATCTAGTAACAGCAACAGCAACTGCGTAAGGTAAAATGAAACAGTGAATACATTTTACAAACAACTAGGAAATTTCAAACAAATTCTCTAATGCTGTGCCAGCACAACAGCATTGTATTAGAACATAACTGTGAATTTGAACTGACCTATTTGTTTCAAAATACCCAAACTGAATTAAGAAATAAAATAACAAAAAAATTAAAATTAATTAAATTAGGGAAAAGAATAATTTCCCCAAACAAATAATTAGGGAAAATTAATGGAAAATAGTAATTCTCTATAAGATGCTTGACGTGTAATGTTTACCTTGACAACATCCATATAAACCAATGTGTGAATAAGGGTGTCTTTAACACCTTGCAATCAACAAGTCCTCCTAGCCCTTTTTTTTTTTTTTAATATTTTCTCTTAGAAGGATGAAAATCTCCCCCCTTCATTCAGAAGCTCAGACAATGGCTTCAGCGACTAACATTTGCAAGTGACACAATGCTTCAGCAAGTCCCCTCCACCAGCATGGAGACAAACGATGACTAACCCAGAATTTGTGACTGCTATGAAACCTTCCTCTTTTCTCCTGCTCTGAATGATGCCTCCTACTTTACTTCCTTTTCTGACTGCTTTTGATGATGTCTGCTCTGTGATTTGTTTGGATATTTATGGCATACATGAGTGTTTGTATACTTGAATGACTACAAAGAAGCTCTCTCCATGACATAAGCAGTTAAAGGACTCACTGCAGCCATTCCTTTCTATTCCCCACTGATGTGCTGTGGACAGGTAATAAAACCTGAGGGACAAGGCAAATATTTTGCAAGTGTATGAGTAAATAACAAGGGTAATGACAGGCAGGAATCAAACCACAGAGTCACTGAAGGTTCTTCTATAATGCCATACGGTTTGCACACATACTCAGACTTTGAGCTAGCGATGCCTTAGCCTGCACCATTTCTTCACTTTCTTTGCCTCCGAAGGATGTTTCTCTTACCTGTTCCTCTCCTTTACAGTACACACAAGAGATTGCACATATTATTCATCTGTACTTTCCAATGGTAGAGTCATAGCATTTGTTTAGTGGAAGGCTGAACTAGGTTCTCAAAGACTATACAATCATTTCATCTAATTACAAAGAAAAGTAAATCACTCAATTTTTACTGTATTACAGTTAAAATGGGTGACACCTCAAGAGACCATATCGTTGACATACGATGAAAGCCTCCAGCCCAGGACCCAGCATAACACATGAAAACCAGAAAAAAAGACCAGGGACAGATTTGTTGAGAAATATTCATTGTGCACATTGAATCACTTGACTATTACATTATCCAACACAGGACTTAGCTTTAAATCGCAGACAACATTAATAACAGAAGTTACAGCGACACTGAAATAGTGACGGATGTGCCTTGCAGAACATCAACTTATACACCCTAATATACACTTACTGCGCTAGACCTCGCTTCACTCAAACTTCACTTTAGTTATGCCAGTGAGAAATATGTGGCATTCTCATGGCTGGCATTCCGCAGCATGATACTCTGGCCCATCACCAATTACACGCATGTTTGAGTACGACTTTTGTCGTACTGGATGCAACACCCACCCTTCCTCCACTGCGTGAAGGCTTCTTTGGTTTCAAGCAGTAGGAGATGCTGAAACACGTGCCACTCAACTAAAGGATTACTTGTCCCTCCACTTCACTCTTTCAACTCGCGTTTCTGTCCTTAGACAACCCAAAGGAATACTCCCACCATCAAAGGAAAATCCATGTAAGTACCATAATGAAACGTGACCAATCCAATTCTCATTTGCAAAAGAGCAGTGGCTTTCCACTGTTATTATACAGAGCTGTGAATTATTCTGAAACCCCTTTCTCTAAACTTGAAAATGGCAGCCAATACAGAAAGAAGCTTCAACCTCTCTAGCCACAGTGAAATGCTGCCCACGACATTGTTCCTGTTGAACGGTACAAGGGTAATTAAGTCTCTCACTACACCCTGGAGGGCAGTGAGTCAGTTTGGGCTCAGCTGGAGTCCACTAGAAGAGTATTGACTAAATTTATAATAGTGTTAATGAACCTATACGTACTACTGGTCAGCATTAAAGGCCAAACAGCAGAGGAAGCCATAGAGCAAAGAGGAAGAGATGGAGGGAAATTACTTCTCAAACTATGATGCAGTGAAACTGCAATCAAGGAATAAGGAGGAAGGATTTCTTAGCTGCTGGTAAATGTACTGAAACCATCGGTAATACAACACTCACGTCGGAGAAGTACATTTGTACTTAGGTCTAAACAGCTTCTCTTAATCTCAGTACTAGGAAAACAGAACCAGACGGATATTTTTAGAGACTTCATGTCAGACACACACAGTTAGTTAATTCTAATAAAAGTTGCTTAATAAAAAGTGAGCTCCATAAATTAATACTAGTGAATTGCTGTAATTTATACATGATTTGTGGCATTATTTCAAAATGCTGTATTTTAAATATATTTATGTTGTCATTGAAGCAATTGTATGGCTATCTGATACTCTGTTTACATGTCTTCATTGATTGAGGAAGGAGAGATTCAGATGGCTTAGTGAAGTACGCATCCCTAGAGCATTGGTACTTTACATGTTGTGGAGGAGGGTAAAAACTGGAATTATACCTTCCCGGTGATTTTCCACATCACTTGTTGAGAAGGCCAGGTGTCTAAAACACTACCTTTATAAGGCATCTATCTCCCTTTTAAACACTGAAAATCTGTCAGCTACTGCAGAAAAGCACCAGATGTTGGCTTTCTCAAAAAACCTTTTCACTCCAAGCACTGCAATCAAGTTTCCCACAACTGGGCTTTCAATGAAAGTTTTTGTTGCTTACCCTGAAGCCAGCTTTGCAGTTTTACAGGGGTCTTTAATGTTTCTGAAGCAGAGTCATCCCACCTGACTGGTAGCTGACACACAGAGTCCGCACAGTCCTTTAAATCTACAGACTCTATCATAACTTCTTCAACGCCAAGATGAGCAGGTAATCGCCAGTGTAACACTGACTATCATTTCTTTCATGTCTTCTTTTGTCACCCATGGACACCTAGAGAGGAGAGCATCTGACAACAAGGAGTGAGGTGTCAGAGATCCACCCAGGCCAAACGCTCCTTTGCCATGGACAAAAATCAAAAGGTCCAAATACAGCCCAAACCTGGGGCTCCTGATCCGTTCTTGCCTGCCGGCACCTCTCTGTCTCTGCACCTTGCTCTGCCCCGACAACTGCCTCTGGGCGTGTGTGTGCTCAGGGTGCCCAGCACCCCGTGGCTGTATTCTTGGTTGGAGCCTCTAGGTGACACTACTTTAATACAAACTAAAACAACAATCTCCAAACAAGGCTCCTTGCTCCTGCCTCACCCCTCTTCTTCCCTTAAAACCTCATCTGTCTGCAGTGGAAAAATATCACAAATCCCACAATCAGAACAGGAAACAAAGCCCTAGGTAACTGCAGCACCAACACGCGCGCTTTAGGCCCATATTGTCTCACAAGTTCAGCAGCTTAGCTTCTTTCATTCAGTTTTAGTTTTTCTTTTTACTTGGGTTTCTCAAATGAATACCACTCACGTAGCTTTAATTATTAATATGGATTTAGTT